TGGGTTGTCGTCTTACAACAACATCTATGAAAGGGTCGAGTAAGTTACAATTCATCTGAAAGAAAAAATCATTTCCTCACTTATCTACATAAACGCCCACTCTTTCTTGTTTTTTGACTCCTGAAGTTTCTGAATTTATAAACCACAAACTATTAACCATTTTTTTTAAAACCTAACAGGAGAAGATCAAGAAACAATTTCATTAGCTAATATGGAATATGTATAAAGAAGAAAACACTTTTAAGTTCTAGACATATATTTTCTTTTATTATAAACATTATTTTATATTCTGTTTTTAGCCCCATCTCACCTCGCCTCCCAGTCCTACCCTTGCTGTCTCTCCCTCTCCCTGCCTCCATTCCTCAGAAAAACAGAGGCCTCTGCCCCTTCCTGTCCACCACAGCTCATAAAGTTGCATCATGACTGGACATGTCCTTTTCCCTTGTGGCCTAGAAAGGCAGTTCTGCCAGGGGGAAGTAATCAAAAAGATGGCAGGAAAGTCATTGTCAGATGCAGTCCCTGCTTTCCTGACTTGAGGACTGAGTGAAGCCCAAGCTGCCCATCTGCTAAATCTTTGTAGGAGGCCTAGGTCCAGTTTCTGCATGGTCCTAAGTTGATGCTTCACCTTCAGCAAGCCCCTCTGTGCCCTGGTTAGTTGGCTCTGTTGGTCTTCTTGTGGATCACCTGTCATCTCCAGGTGCTTTTCTTTTTCTTCCATTTTTGTATAAGACTCCCTAGGCATTGCCCCATGTTTGGCTGTGAGTCTCAGCGATCTGTTTTGGTGCATTGTCGGGTAGTGCCTCACAGAGGACAACTCTGATAGGCTCCTGTCTGAAGGCTTAGCAGAGTACCATTCACAGTGTTGGGTTGGCACTCTCTCATAGGGTGGGTCAGGCATTGGTTGGACATTCCCTCAGTCTCTGCTCTATCTTTATTCCTGCAAATCTTGTAGGCAGGGTAAAATTTGGGTTGTTTTTGTGGGTGAGTTCGTGTTCCCTTCCCTCTACTAAGTGACTTGTCTGGTTAGAGGGCGTCATTTTATCTGTCTCTATGGTCTCTGCTACCAGGAGAATGTGCTTGAGCCCCTCTCGTATATTCCCAGGAGCCTACCCTGACCTACATCTCCAGCTTGTCATACAGATGCCCCCACCCTCAGTTTCTCTCTTCTCTACAGGCCTTCTGTCCCTCTGCTCCCACTCTCCCCAGGCCTGATCTCTACCTCATATTTCTCTGTGCCCCTCTCTTTCCTTGTTCTCTCTATTTGACTACTAGCTCTGCCTATTCTAACTTACCCTTCTGTGTGAGATTTATACATCCTCCCTTAGAGCCTCCTTGTTACTTGTCTTTTTTTGGGTCTATGCCTTGTAGTATGTTTATCCTATACCATATGGCTAAAATCCACTTATAAGTGAGTACATACCATGTGTGTCTTCCTGGGTCTACCTTACCTCACTCTGAGTGATATTTTCTAGTGCTACCCATTTGCCAGCCAATTTCATGATTTCTTTGTTTTTAATAGATGAGTAATATTCCGTTGTGTAAATGCACCACAATTTTTTTAAAATTTATTCTTTGGTTGAGTGACATCTAGGTTGTTTCCAGATTCTGGTTATTATGAATAAAGCTGCTATGAACATAGTTGAACAAGTGTCTTTGGTGTATGGTGGAGCATCCTTACGATATCTTCCCAGGAGTGCTATAGCTGGGTGTTGGGGAAGAGCTTCTCCTAATTTTCTGAGAAAGCACCAGATCGATTTCCAAAGTGGTCGTACAAGTTTGTACACCAGCGATGGAGGAGTTTTTATCTACATGCTAGTCAGCATGAGCTGTCACTTAAGATTTTGATCTTAGCCACTCTGACAGCTGTGAGATAGAATCTCAGAGTCATTTTGATTTGCATTTCCCTAATGAATAAGGACACTGAACATTTCTTTAAGTGTTTCTCGGCCATTTGAGATTCCTCTGTTGAGAAATCTTTGTTTAGTTTTTTTTGCCCCAGTTTTAAATTGGGTTAGGTTGTTTATTGGTGTTTGATTTTGTCAGATGTAGGTGAAGACCCTTTCCCAGTCTGTAGAATGTTGTTTTGTTCTAACGACAGTGTCCTTTGCTTTACAGAAGCTTTTCAGTTTCATGAGGTCCCATCTATTGATTGTTGATCTTAGCACCTGAGCTGTTGGTGTTCTGTTCAGGAGGTTTTCTGGTATATTTGTTTATGTTCCATTTCTGCTATCTTCCTCACCAAGAAAAAAGAGAATCTGAATGAAGCACTAGCCTCCATGCTTTCTAAGTTACTGGAGGTAACCGTTGTTACCTTGGCAAAGAACATATTGACTCCACTGTATTTATGACTCTGTCTTGCTCCTACAAGATTATTTCAGTTATCTTTATTCTTTGAACAGGCTCTATCCAAGAAACACCTCATGGCACTTTATGTTTCTAAGTTGTTATGCTTATACCCCTTTCCATTCCTTAAGAAATGGGAAGGGCTATTATGCAACTGATCTGAGTTTGTTACACTAGCCATGTGACTTATCCTTATTTGACGTTTATAAATAGAGCCGTATAAATAGACTCTTGGGATTATCTTATTGGAGCATGCCACCTACACCCTATTTACTGGGCTCCTGAATGATTTTTTTTTTTATTTATTTGGGAAAAAAGGTACTTTGAAATGTTTTAGTAATACACAGGGGGAGGGGAATGAAAGTGCAAATGTTCTCCTTATGCTAAAATTAGTTTACCTGAGCAGCTGAGGAGCAGGATAACATGTTGAAATTGAGCACCGTGGATGGGAGAAAATGGGATACTGTTTTATTATATGAAAATGAAGCAAATGATTCTGAATTTTAACTGGGTTCAAATATCAAGTCTCGTGGCTGAAGATGGTAGGTTTTGTTCTGTTTTTCATAAGCATTTGTTTTTCACAGGCATTTGGCCTGTGATCCTCCATTCAACCAGGGGCAGCTCATCACCAGAAGGGCAGAGAAGAGGGGGGAGGAGCGAGAGTTTAGACAGGACTAACAGAAGGATTTTTAAAAAGAAAGAAAGCACTGAAGAATTTACAAGTAAGAAAAGATTAGAAAGATGAAGCCACTCTGTGTTAGGAAACTACTAGGACTAAAGGGAAATGCCAGAGCCTCCAATTATGTAAGGCCTGTCAACTCTACAAGAAAGGTGGTGGCTCCCAGAGATCAGTGGAGTACCATTTATTAAAGAGGAACAGTAAAAAACGGAGGAGTTCACATCAAGTAAACAAGACCATTTTCAAATGTGCATCCATTTTGTATTTTATAAAGGTAATTTTGCAAACTATAGTCACTCAAAATGTGTCAATAAACCAAATTTATGCATATTTTCCTAATATGACCCAAATGGGATAACTATACTATCATCAATGGATTCACAAGGAACAAAGATGATTGCCTTTATTAGGCAGTTTTTGTGGATCATATTTAATTGGCCCCTCTACACTGTAACACACTTAGAAAACTTTGACAACCTACTGAAAGTTGTAGAATTATTAAGCCGCTGAACCTGCGTATGGACCCAGGGTCTTCATCTCTATAAGTCAGTGGTTAAATTAACTCAGAAAGAAATTACTGGGTGACTTCCCTTATTCAACTATTTTTATGATCTATGGGTGCTTTACATTTATGGAAATGTTTGTTGACAATTCTTTTGACTACCTAATGATGCAGTTTATGTATCTTTAACAGGGGCTATCTCTAATCTTCAGATTTGTAATTATCTCTATTTGCTACTCTGAAAAGATTCACATGGCCCATACTTATCCTAGCTTTTAAATGAGAAATAACCTAAATATTTTCACTTTCTTTTTGATATATGTCCCATGCATTTCCAGCTTTGGAAAAGCTGGAAATTCTCAGTCACAGAATTTATATGAGTCAAGTTTTACAATAAGTTACAATATTTATGAAGTTATCATTTGAAAGAAAGGGTCACATTGTACCTTTTGATTTTGAAAAACAAATAGGCACCTCTTTCAGTTTATATTTTATATTTTAATTGAGTTCAAGTTATAGATATTTTAAAAGGGCCATGCTCATCATGTTAAACATTTCAAAGGATTTTCAGTCTGCGCAATTAATACTAAACCTACTAAAATTTCTTTTGAAGCTTTCCAGGAATTCTCCATACACATACCTGTGTAAGTTTATTTTCCTTTCCCTTTTTCTACTTAGCTGTTTAATTTTTTTTAATTATTGCAAGGATTCTATTTTAGTATATAGCATTTTTTTCATTTCCTTCATGCCAACCTTTCAATATTATTTAGAGATTTAAAAAATATATATATATATATATAAACTATCAGGTGATCAGATGGTGACTTTTACTGTGCACATTTTTCCATCATAATAGGATAGATTTCTTGCTGGTGGATTTTTGTGGTCAGGCATATGATTATTTACATTTTCTGAGTTTTCTCTTTTACTTAATTTCAGCACCTATTATTTGACCCTTTACCATCAAAATTTGACACTAAAGCCTCAGAAATTGCTAGTTATGATTTTTAGCAAACTATAGACCTCTCCAAGTTACAAGCATTCATACAGTCCACTCTCCAACCTTACCTACTTCCTGGACCAATTCTCCTCACTGTACACACTCATTATTTCACTGCTTTTTTATTTATTTTATATTTTTTATGTCAGCTAATCAAAGCAGTATGTTTAAACTTAGTTTTAATATTTTAATGACAAAAAAACGATAGTTGATGTCTCTTTGGAACCGAGCTCATAAACGAATGCGACTTTCAACATCAAGAGTTAAATCTGGAACATGCTGGCCAGGGTAGGACGGACACTATCATGTAAAAGACCTTTGGAGGCAGGCTAGCATAGTTTACAAGCCACTGGACCTATTTATAGAGCTTTCTGCAGTGTCAACTGAAACCTTACACTCATTCTAAGCATCACTATCTCAGATATCACCCCTACTAGCTGTACAGTTTTCTCTTATTTGATATATCAGAGAGACCAATGGAGCCCACTCAAGTACCTGGTCAGATTAGCAAAGATAAGTTTTTAGAACTTCCTAATCTGTCTGATTCTGTGTGTGAAGATGAAGAGGTTAAGGCGACCTTCAAGCCTAGCTTCTCCCCTCAGCCAAGCAGAAGAGGGTCGGGATCCTCTGAAGATGCCTATCTGGACACCCCAACCTCAGCTTCTCGGAGAGTCTCCTTTGCTGACAGCCTTGGACTGAGTCTTGTCTCTGTTAAAGAATTCGATTGCTGGGAATTACCAGGTCTTTCAACTGATTTTGACTTAAATAGGGATATTTTCGCCCCAGAAGAATATGTTCTATCTCCACTGTTTGAATTGCCTTCTTCCAAAGACGAGCTTATGGAACAACTTCAAGGCCAGAAAGCAGTGTTGGAGTCCACTGAACACCTTCCTGGGTCGGCAAGTGTGAAGGGCATTATTCGAGTTCTGAACATTTCTTTTGAGAAGTTAGTGTATGTGCGCATGTCTTTGGATGACTGGCAGACATATTATGACATTTTAGCAGAATATGTTCCTAATTCGTGTGATGGTGAAACCGACCAGTTCTCTTTTAAGATTTCATTGGTTCCTCCTTACGAAAAAGATGGCGGTAAAGTGGAGTTTTGTATACGCTATGAAACTTCTGCTGGCACATTTTGGTCTAATAATAATGGCACAAATTATATACTGGTTTGTCAAAAGAAAAAGAAAGAGCCAGAACCTACAAAGCCATTGGAAGAAGCTCCCAGTAGGCAAATAAAAGGCTGCTTAAAGGTAAAATCAAGGTAAGGACATGCTTTATGTACTTGAAAGTTTATAAAATTTGATTAATTTGGATGTTACAAAAAATAACAATTAAACCTGCAAATCTGCTACTTGCTCATAAAAATAATTGTGTCAGATTTAGCAGGTCAATGTTGTTTAGAGAATAACACTCTAGTATTCGTGATTAAGGAAAACATGTTAACAATACAGCATTGGGAGGCGTGTAGACTATTTGCTTTATTTCAAACCCTGAATTAGAGTCTTATTGGTGAAATTATTTTTTAAGAGCATGTCTATTTGTAATATTTCTTAAATGTCAGTACTACACCTTGAAACATATTTAGTTAACATAAAATTGTATTTCAGTTTGTACCTTTTGCTCAGAAACTTGCAAACTTTCCCTCAAAAGCTGTGATGATGATTTTAAATGCTGAGTTATATAGAGATAGTCGGAGTGATCTATTCTAGGTTAAATCATAAGAGAACTGAACTTAATAATGAACTGACGGGAGGGTAATTGTGAGTGATGCATACATTACACATAAAGCTTTATAATTATAACAACTGTAACACTAGGAACGCAAATTAGTATAATTTAGTAAAAGGAAGTGGAGCAGAATTAAAAAAAAAATGACCCAGATAGAAATAAGGATATTCAGCTAAACAGATTAGAGTTTTGGGACGCGACCCCTCATTAGCAACCTTGCTCGTCTGTTAATGTTGAAAGAGAGAAGTAGCCCTCAGCTCACTCTGTAGTACAAAGTTGGCTAATTTCCATGACACTAGAGTAGAAGAGAAAACACTCAGGCGCAGTGAGATCCCTGTGTGCTCCCCAGAGCATCAGGAAAGGACTCCCTCGCCTTTCTAACTACAGTCAAATGCTTGATGATTCTCCGAGTGATCACCCACACCACCCCCACACAAATAATTTAGTAAGTTTATCAGAAATATGTTAATGTGACGAAGAGGGAACTGTGTAAAAAACAAAACCACATAGAATCCCAGAACTACATAGAAACTTAAAAAATTACTTTGTTTTAGTGTATAAAGCAGTAAGTAGTAACAGACAGATTTTTTGATCTAGTGGATTAGTGAATTAAGCTAATAATATAGGATAAAATAATTCAAATATATGAAATAATAGTTTTAATTTTGTGTTTAAGTCATTTGAAAGAAGCTTAGTATACTGTGTGAGCTATGTCAAATTTCTGAGCCAAAATGAAAAGAGATAACGTAACCATAACTTCTATCTATGCTAAAATAAAAACTTAGATGTTTGTGATAATACTCAGTAACATTAGCCACACAGGAAAAAAAAAAAAAAAGCTGAATGAAATTCAAACTAACCTCTGCACAAAAAAATAGTTGTATATTTTAAATACTTTTTGAATACTTTCTAAACATTCAGCAAGCCAGGTGCTGTACATATTAGAGCAAACAGAAAAATTATGAAAAGTAAATGCATTTGTCCAAAGAAGCTGCTCTGACTCAGTAGGTTTTTCTGTGAGTTTTCAGTGAGCTTCACATTCTCAAGCAGCACATGCTGAAATGGGTCCACAAGATCTTTGTGAGGTGGAGGTTATTTGCCTTGGTACCTGGCGTAGACAATGGGCAGCAGATAAGCCTAGCCCCGTCATGCACTGTAGCCATGGTATGACTGTGTGAGTGTGTGTGTGTGTGTGTGTGTGTGTGTGTGTGTGTGTGAGTGTTCCTTTGTATTCAGAGCAATAATAATCAGTTCATAGCAGACACTGGTCAACTTTCAATATTGCTTTGGAGAGGAAAAAAAAAAACTGAGAAAACTAAACCACAAAATGGTCTGAAGGCCTGTAAAGTTTCCTAATGAGTTATGAAAACGGAAAAACTTCTTTCCTTCAAAACCACAAATACGTTTTCTGTACTTCTATAACTTAAAAATTACCAACATAATTCAAACCACATTTTGAAAAAAGCATTTGCCTCTGGAGGAGGCTTTCTGTGCTGAGTTTCAGTCCAACATGAATTTTTACATCTGATTTATATACCACTCAAGATTGAGTGTATAAAGGAAATCCTGACAGATCCTCGAACAGCATGTGCCATAATAGAATATTTATACAGCTTTTCCATGATATAATTTATATGCAATGGGCTTTCAAATATTCCTAAAACTCACACAAGAGAGCATTATCAAATTTCTAAATGAATAGTGCAGTTGAATTTCATTGGGAAGAATTTGGATAGAAAAAAAGAGAGTTACCTCATTAGTATTATTTTACAAAATGTGCCCTTGGTTAAAATAAACTAGTAGATATTTGATAAAAAATTATAGCTATAAAATATTCTTCCTTTATCCAAAATAGTTGTAAGATCTGAAAGGTCTGTTACAAATAATTCTATACTCCCTGTGCTGTTGGATTTGGAGGGCATTTATTTTATGAGATAAGAATTGAGCAAAAACATACGCATGAATTTGTGTTTCTTACATACAAGTAGATTAAGAATAAATAGTGTGCCAAGTAACTCAGAGATAAAATGAAAATTAGGCTGACCTAGCAAGCAGAGTAGCAACTAACTTCAATTATTCTTAATACCAAAGTTAATTTACTATCGGTGTTCCTGAGATTGTATTTCCTGAAAGTGTCAATAATCCCTTCTAATAAGCACAGAGCAGACTGAACACACACACACACGCACACACACACATGCGCACACACGCACATTCAGGCAGGCACAGTTTCTGTTTTGCTAATCACTCACACAGGCTCGCTGTTTTCACTGTGGAAAATTTTCTCAGGTTGGAGTTTGTAAATGTCTTCTTTGGTGCGATGTGTCTATTTCATATTTGATCTGAGTATCTGGAGAGAAAGAAAATCATAGTTACTAACAGGCATGTGACTGCCGGTGACCCCGACTACTAAGATCAGTGAATGGCATGGATCATGAGGTGTTTGTTAGGTGTCAGCACACAGACTGCAACGGGGAAAGTTGCAGCAAGCAAACTAAGCCGAGATTCCAGGGAGAAATGGCATTGACGTGAGCCACGCTCAGTGTGCAGAAATCGAATACGATACATCACGCTTTCAGTCAAAACCGAAAGCTTGAAAAATTAAACATACCTGAGTGTGAGGCCCAGCTCTCCCATGGACCAGACATGTGGACTTGAGCAAGTAGGAATGATTTCCTCCCTGGCTAATTGTGAACAGCAATAGTCTATTCAGGATATTCTTGACACTTCCATTTCATATAGTTTTGGCATAGTTTCCAGTTCAGAGGAATTTAAAACAGTTAGCTGTTTTAAACAGGCCAAAACTGCAGCCTTCAGAAGCTGTGAAACCCATACTAAGGCTCACTGCCCTGTTTTGCAGCCTTTTAATTTCAGAGCTCCTAGATATTCACATGGAAAGCATTTCTTTGTCTCACAAAAGATTTTATTCAGCAGGAAGAAAACTTACAGTGTTGATTTTCTTGAGATATGTTTGGCTTCATATTTTGAGCATTTTATAATGGGAAGAGAACATACTAAGTACTAAGATTTCTCTTTTTAATAGACAAAGATTGAAGTTCTATTTTTTTTTTTTTTTAGAAATATTTTGGGGTGGGGTTTGCTGCAATGTCCCGGCACGCATGAGAAAGTCTAAGGACAGCTTGTAGAAGTCAGTTCTCCTCTTCTTCCATGTGGGTTCATCAGGTTTGGCAGCAAGTTTCAAAAACCCAATTAGCCATCTCTCCATCCTCTAAAGACCATTCTTAAAGTAAAAGAGGCATTGTTTTGGGCATTGACCAAGCACACATTTCAATATGAGCCAAAAAATAAATGTGTGTATGATACATAGCTGTGTGGTTGTGGGTGTCTTACTGCTCTTAAGAGATCTGTTTACTCACCTGCTGTGCTGGGAATATCACGACAGCCAGCATAAAAATGAAATGCTATTGCGTCTTTAAGGATATAAGCGAACTTGAACACATACAAGCTAAGCATCCAAAGCTCTGAGAATTGTCACCATCAGTAACAAGTCTTCATTAGATAAGTGATTTCCTGACCCTTGGACTTGCATTGTTTCTCCTGACTTTGAAGTTTGGCTTATTCAGACCTCCAAAGTATCCAACTATGTAAGTTCAGGACCAGTGTTTCAGGGCCCAGGTTATTAAGCATCAGTACCAACCTGGTAAATGAGGCAAAACAAACAAACAAACACCCTGGGCCTCTGAAGATGTGGAGAAACTTGGGAGGAAAGGATTGGTTCACAGGGCGAAGAGGAGTATAGTAGAGGGGAAAAAAAGAAAGAAAAAAAAACACACCAAAACAAATCTCATATGCTGTGGGTATGTGGAAGCTACAGATTAACAAGTAAACAATAAATATCCATGACTTGGGCTTTTTAGACTTCAAGATTAGAGGACTAGCCTTCCCAGTTCCTTGTTTTTCTCCCACAGCACAATATGTATTCACATATTGTGTTCTCCACTATACACAAGATGACATCACCTGGCTTCTTATTTTATTAAGTGAAATCAATTTATTATTCTAACCAAAGAAGCAGTATGTATGGGTGTTGAATGGTATTTATGACTTGGCCAGGTGAATGCAAATAAAAACCCCAAGAAAAGAATGATTAGTCCTCACTTTTCTTCATACTTGAGGAATAGAAGCAGCCACATGAAGCAAAAGGAAAGAGAAATTCTTTCTAAAGTGTGGTTTTAAGAATACAGAACGTTTATCTTTCAGAACAATAAAATCATGAAAATGGGGCCAAGAAAAGCACTAGAAAATGGGTATGAGCTAAAGCCATGGCGTACGTTCCAGTCACAGCCATTGGACTGTGAGACTTCCTTAATTTACACATCCCGCATAGTCTGCGATCCTGGAAATAGTCCAAAGCCGTGTAAATAGCTCCACGAGGCCTCTGGGACCTAATGTGTTCCATACCATGCTCATTTTGAATACACACTAATTGTGGAAGCTGGGCCTGTTTAAGCGGAGGGACCTCTGGCAAGGCCACATGGAAACATAAAACACAGCTGCACAGGCCCCTCAAGA